TTGCCCCTTTTGCTGGATCTTTCATTATTAGATAAGTTTTGCCAGATGCTAACCAATCTTCAATTTCACCTCCTTGCAGTATGTTGTTAAACTGCTCGGCAATGAGTGAGGGCAGAACAGTCAGATGTTTCAACTGAAAACCATGCAGTTCATCTTCATCTGGTGCTGACCAATTCTTGATCTTCCTTGCCCTTTTCTCCACCATTTATGCTGTTATTACAAGTTCTTTCATTTCAGCTTTTTTTTTTCTTTCTATACCTCCTTTATCCAAGCTGCATTCTTGTTGTATTTCTGTGGGTTGTTCCATAGCTGCACCCAGAACTTCAATGTTTCTTCTTTGTCAGGTGTTGACTGGTTCATTGCAGTCTCTCCATTGACGAACTGGTAGAAACATTTCTGATTCGACTGAAATTGGAGATTCTGCCTGTAGTGTGCAATTTGAGATTTGTATCTGCTGATCTGATTGTTGTTGTTGTTATTTCTACTTTGCAGGTTTGGAGATAATAAACTTGGAAACTCAGGAGTGAATGTTCTCTGTACCATTCTGAAGGAACTGGGCTGTAATTTGACTAACTTGAAGTAAGTAATAAGAGAGCAAAGGTGCATCTAAACAGTTGTGTGCATGTTTTGTCTTGGAAGAATTGGGTACCTTTGTTCTAATAACCAGTAGGCAATTGGTGAAAACCTAGGGTACCTAATTAGGCATTAGTTACTCAGAACTAATGTTCAGAACAGATCAGTCTGGATAGTGAAGAGCAAGGCAGGGATGAGGACAGGATGAGCCATTCCTAGAGAGCTGCAAAGCAGCAGACAACTTACATAAAAAACATACAAAGATAAATGATCACCTTCAATTCCAGGCTACACCTAGAGGTCTGTCCCTCAGTCAACTGAGGAAAGAAGCTCTTTGCCTTGGATGTTTGCTAGTGTTCCTCTGGCATTTAAGGTGGGTGAGGCACAGGTTAATGAGAAACGCCAGGCATTTTTTGTGCTGAATCTTCAAGCTTTCTCGGCCACTTCATGTCCACAGGAGCCTATGCTTTTTTGCTCCTTTAGAAACTTATGGCTTTGGACGTGGTTCTGTGTTGGTACCGTTGTGACAACTTCCAGCTTAGATGGACTGTTTTTTCCCCCAAGTTCCCAGGGAAGTGTTTAGAACACTTCTGTGCATCAAAGTTCAACAATGACTTTAGTCCTAGGGTGTGACAGTACTGGGAACCAGTATTTTTTGTAAGGGTGAGACCCCTAAATAGTAGCCTAGGTGAGGACAGATATCACTCACTGCCTGCTTGGCTTCAAAATGAGTAATAATGACCAGGTGATCTTTGGGGATTAGTTGGTATACACCAAACACCATGTATTTATCACTTAAGGGTACAACCTAGATAGGTGTTGATTTGTATCCATGGTAACATTTGCTGAATCCAGTCTAAGACAGAGGACAATACTTCAGACCAGGAAGACACTGTCACATCAGCCAAGGGTAATTCAAATATAATTCTTTAAAATGGAGTAGGGGTGGGGAGTACCATCTGCAATAATTTGCTCCTCACATACTGTAATAATATGTGGGAATGACTTTGGGAGATGGGGAGGGGAAAGAGATGCTGTCTAGGGAACGATCAGATAAGAGAGGATATAGCCCGCAGCTTGATAATGGGAAGAGAAACGAACTCAGAAAGGAACCTCCCTAACTCATCAGGCTGTAAAAGAGATGGTGGGAGATTTGTACTTTCAGACTTGCAAGATTGATGTCAGTCTTCCCAGGTAGACCAGACAGCAAACATGACCAGATGAGCTAAGTCTACTTTATTGTAAGGCTATATTAACAGAATCTTGCAAGTCTGAAAGTTCCCTAGGCAGCATCTCTTCCCCCCATCTCCCAAGGTCATTCCCACATACCATTACATGCACACACACATACATGAATGTGTGTATATATTCTGATTTTATCGTATCAAAATGAGCAAGCCTGTGATGAGGCTTCTAATTTTCTCTTTGCCAGTCTTGATCGCAATTACCTCACAGATGCTGCTGCCCAAGAACTTTGTGCTGTTCTCAGAACTAGCCACACACTTTACAGTCTAGAACTTCGAGACAACTCCTTCACAGAGAACTCTGTCCCATTCTTTCAAGACTTGATGAAAAATTGCACCAGCTTGGCTATTGTATGGTGAGTGTTGATAAGGCTGGAAGAGAACATTTGGTTGCCTTCTAGGAAGTGGATAATAATATTTTGCAATTATAGGTGCTAAGACCAAGCTGGTAGAGTGTTTGTGTAGGTGAAGATCTTAAATTAACTGCCCAGCATGGAAAAACTGATACTATATTTGTATACTATGTTTTTAAAATTGGGCATTTTAGATAGCAGATGTTTTTTGAAAGCCAACTAGTGCAATCCTGCATTTCAGGACTAAAATTAAGGCTGCTACCAAAGTATTCCTGACAGATAGCCATCTAGCCCTTGATTTTCATTATTTTTTTGGATCAATAAAGAATGAGTTCTCATCTTCTGCAGTAATTGTAACCCCTTCCTCTCCAACGAATGTAAATAGAAAAATGAATTCCCTTCTTGTTAATTATCCCAGTGCCCCAGTGAGCATTCCAAAGAGCAGGGGAATTGTTAGGAGGCAAACAAAAGCTGAAGGTGTGAAATTGATTAGTCTTGTCAGTTTTGAGCCAGCTATCCCAGTTATGGGGTGAGCATTCCAAAGGGTGGGGAGTGGGGAAAAGAAAAGCAATTGTGGTCACATGATTTCCCACTTAGCAACCGTTTTGCTTAGCAACAGAGTTGCTGGTCACGATTGTGGTCACTAAACAAGGACTACCTGTAGTTTGAAACAGGCTGAGCCAAGTGCAAATGTGTTCAAAGAGAGATGATAGGCATGAACACTTGGATAACGCTTATTTTCTTCATCTGTAAAATTATTCAGCTTTCAACAAGCTGAGTTGTCTCTTCTTGTTAGTGGTATAAATTGTGGAAGACATGATTGCTTAAGCATGCAGTGTCCATGGGAATGTTTTATTTGGAAACTGACATACTGCTTTAATCAAATATGCAATATATCCACAATATTTTATTAATTTCTACAGGTACAGTCATGTATAGAGCTATCCAGTATTATTCTTGCTTCTTTAATACATTTTACAGATAGTAAAACTTGTGTAGTAGTAAAGTTAGGCACCCCTCTAAGTCCTGCTATGCTGCCTCATTGTAGTGGGGGGGGGGCTGCTGGGAGTGTACATCAAGATGTACTCTCCCAGCAAGGTCAGCCAAGGGATGAAGGTCATCTGAGCTACTCAGCTAAAACAGGCAGGCACTTATATTGCGCAGGAGCAAAATAGAAAGATACGAGAGACAACACTAGCTGTATAACCACTCTTGTATTTTACTAAGAAGCCCACATGAACAGACAAGATAAAGTGATTGATGATATAGTGCTGGATGATGGCAGATGGCACTCAACATGTTACTAAGGAATAGCTGAAGATCTGTCAGAGTACTAATGGTGCTTATGACACAGCTAGATTAAAGCATTCCGTACATCTAGTTGCCGATGTTGCCGTGTGGGAAAAGAAAATCTGAAGCTGCAAAGACAGAATTACGGTGGGAAGATGAAATGTAAGAAGTATGAATATGGGAAAACTCAATATAGTGAAATAGGAAATTAACTGACTATACATTGACATATTTGACTTCAGTAAATTGAATGGGCTGGAACTAGACACTTTCAGCCAGAAGATCCAATTTACTACTCAGGCGACTAAAGGAGTGGTATTGCCTTTCATAGTCAGAATGATAGAGTAAAGACTGTGCTTGGGTATAATGCAATCAGGGACCAAATGTTACCAATTCAACTTTGTAGACAATCTTTTAATATGATGATTATCCAAGTTTATGCTCCGACCATTGATGCAGAAGAAAAGGAGGCTGATGGGTTTTATGGTCACATTCAATCTAAATTGACAGAACATAAAAGTAAGATGTGTTCCTTTACTGCTACCAGTAAAAGAACCAGCAATCAAGAAATGTGCTGCAGACTAGCACTTGATAGAGTAGCAATGAAGGCCTTGGAAGAGATACTCAGGTGCTTGAGGCACAAATGACCAGGCTCAAATTATCTTACTTTCAGAGACGTTATTCAAAGACCTAGCTCTCATGAGATGTCTGTAATGCTGGAAAAGATGTAAGAGAAGAAGAGGACAGCCAGCAGCAAAGTGGATTGACTCAGTTACGGTGGCACCAATGGCACCATTGGAAGATCCCAGTTAGGGACAGATCACCATGGAGGAAATCTATCTGTGTGGTCATTAAGGGTTGACACCGACTTGATGGCACATAATCAAAGAGAAAAATGGAAGAAATAAAGTGGCATATTTGGAGAAAACAAAAGTTAACCAATATCCCCCAAAGAATTACATTGTTTAGGTGATCAAGTATACAAATGTTCTCCACTCACTATCCACTGAGAGGGATATACTATATAATGGCTGGTTTCCATGCAAAAGATATATAGAATCTGCATTTGAATAACAATTGTACCTTGCCAAAGTTTGTGCTGATATCTCAAGGCTCCTCCAATTTCCTGCTCTAATTTTATTTGCATAAAGGGCCATTCCATGTAAAATATATAATACATGAAAGTCTTTTTCATATCAGAACCCAATACATACATAGCTCATTGCATGTGACTATCAGAAGACTATGAGAGCCAGTTTGGTGTAGTGGTTAAGGCATCAGGCTAGAAACCAGGAGACCTTAGGCACAAACCAGCTGGGTGACCTTGGGCCAGTCACGGTCTCTCAGCCCTAGGAAGGAGGCAAGGGCAAATCACTTCTGAAAAACCTTGCCAAAAAAACTGCAACTTGTCCAAGCAGTCTCCAAGAATCGGACATGACTTGAACGGATAAAAACAAAAAATCAGAAGACTATGTATTTCTGAAGATACACGTATTCATTATTTCAGTATCTGCTTATGAATTATGTCTGATAGGTATTTGTCGTGTTTGGAGCATCCTTTAAAATAGCTCATTCCAAACTTGGGTCAAGATACACACCTGCCTTTGTATTTTCTCTTTTGGTAACTACATTTTATTTACTTAATTAGCTCATACTTATTAAATCATTGGATTCTTTAGTGCTGCTCACTTTTATATGTCAGCAGAGAGCTTGGGTGAATTTTTTTTGTAGGAGGAGGAGGAATTTTTGAACAGCTTTTCAAGGGCAGGATTTCTTTGTAGTGGTGAAAAAAAGCCCTGTGGGCTGAGTTTCCTTTGGGATATAATTAAACTATGGGAAGCTGAGAAGGCTGTAGACTGCAGGAGAGTGAGTGAGTGAGAGAGCGAGCAAGCAGTGTAATAGAATACAGGCTTCTTGACCACCTCATAACTACATGTGGGTGAGACTGCTACTGACCACCCATGAGCTTTTTTCCAAAATTCTCTTCTCCTTTGAAATAATATATAAAGCAAATTCTCCTTCATGAAATTGAATGAATACTAGTCTAATAGATAAAAGTAGCATTAAGACAAATTAGAGGTGGCATGACAATCCACACTAAAGAACTGGCCTCAGCTCCAGCAGTTTGTTGTACCTTCTGTTTTCGTTTCTTTTCAGGTTGTCATCAAATAGGTTTAATGAAAAAGGACGAAAATGCCTGGACCTGCAAGCAAAAAAGATAACTGAATCAGGACGTGGCTTTCTCTTATGGATATGACTATATTCTGTCATGGCATCTACAGAATAAAAAGCAATCAATCCCTAATTTGACGGGCTTGATTATATTTGCTGAAGGAGAGTTCGAAAAGGAGAACATTTTCAAGGAGATATTCCCACAAGGTTATACCAATTTCAGTTATTGAAACCAGTTTTCAGACAAAAGTGTTGACATGAACAATCATTAACATTTTAGAATATTTGGCATTTTGCTTTCTAGGACATCACTTTCTTTGAAAAACATTATCTTCCAAAATTTAGGAAAATGGCAAAAATAATTCTCTTTCACCAAGATTTTAACTATTGATTCTAATGTTTATATAAGCAGAAAGGTGGAATATGAATGTAGTAGTAAATCAGTAAAAATAAAATTGGTGAAGCCAGTTTTTTTCAGTTCCTATTTTCAGTCTAATCAGAGTGATTTACAAATTATATACTGTAAGATAGGCAGGGGAGATATCTGTGTTTGAACTGATATTTTGAGGAAGAGAGTCTGAAGAACTAAAGCAAATAATATTAACAGTTGACCTTAATGACAATTTAAAATAACCAAATAATTGGTCCAAGATTATTTCCACTAGAGTATTCTTAACATTGATACAGTAATGCTGACCTAACAAACATGTATCCTGGTGGAGATATGTCTATGTGGTCACTAAAAGTTGACACTGACTTGATGGCACATAATTGATCAACAAAGATGTATAATTTGTAAGACTGGCCTCTGTATCAGAGAATTAGGAAGTGGCCAAAGTAATACCAGTTTCAAAAAGTAATGTTGAATCTGGGGGAAAAGGTGACTTCCTACAAAAATTTTAAAAAATTGTCATTAATATTGTAATACCATTACAATCCATAGTATGACCACAGTTGGAATACTACATACAGCGCTCTTTGGTTCTTGATGCGAAACTATAGCAGTAGGCAACAACAAGCACCTTACTAAAAGAGCCAAGAAAGGCACAAACAAAGTAGTTGATCCCTTCTCAAAGGCTGGCATGATGTCAGGGCCCCAGCAACATTCAGTATTCAAAACATTGGAAAGACGTTAGTAAGTAGGACTCAGGGAACCCAAATGGTCTGATGGACTGAAAGGCAGGATATTTGAAGTAAGCCTTGCTGACCTACAGAATGATGAAGTTGCCTTCTGTCGATTCAAACTGATCACACAATGTCATCTCTCTTCTAAAAAAATAAAATAAAATTATAGAGTTAAGGTGTTGAAAAGAATCTGATTTTGACAGAGGTTCCTATCCATGTGCTCTTTCTATCTTGCCACCAGTTTCATCATCTGATGGCTTTCCACCACCACCACCTTCACTATGCAGTTCTGTCAATTTGCCCAATTTCCATGTAGTTTTTCTTGTAGCAGTATAGCTCGCTATGACCTTTGCCCAAACATTTTCTTCCTTTTTGTTTTCGCAATCTAGCCTACAACCCTGGGATATTGCAGGCTTCTATGGTGGTCATTGCCTGTCTTTTCCCTTTCCTTTCAGGAATTCTTGCCAATGGCTGGGAGTGGGGTGGCCAACCTATCCAGTAGTATGTAAATTATATCTAGTGAAGGACTTCATTACAATCAATACACAAGAGTAGAGGTTCCTCTGAGATGTTAATACTACATGAAGCACTCTAGGAAACAGTTTTATCAATATTGTATTATTTAAATTGTATTTGTTCCAATTATTTTTTCTGTGTAATAAAACAGATTGAGAAAATACCTCAGTACATGTATGATTATACTCTCTGGGAACAACTGCCAATGAGAAAAATTTGAAATTGAGCTGTTCAGTACATTAATCCCCCAAAGCTGAGAGGGTATAAATAAAAAGCAATGAGACAGTTAATATCACAGAGGTGAATAGAACCTATTAGCACATATCACAGAGATAAGTCAGAGCCTAATAGCACATCTTGGGGTATTTTGTAATAGATTGCCCCCACTGCAGGATTTAGATTTCCAATGTAAAAATGATCTATTATACCATAACCTTGTATTAATCAGTTCTTTGTCAGATTCAGTGATTCTCACCTGCAAAACTGAAGAGCAGCTGGTTGCCTCTAATCAATTATTGTCTATTTTTCTCTCTGGGAGACAATCTGTCTTTTTAAATAGAATGGTATAAAGGACTGTTGAAGTGCTTCTGCTCAGATAATGAAAAGTGCCTGTTTTTGTAGAACCCTGGGTGGTGGCTTGTTGATGGGAATTTCTTAATGAAATTATGAAGCTCTTCAGATTTGAATTTCCACTCTTTCTCCCCCACCCCCCATCAATTATCTCTGCTTGCAAGGGATGGAGAAAGGTGCTTAGGTATTTTGCTTCAGTTGCCCAAATAAGAGTGGCAGTTTTATGCATCTTGACTTGGCAGCAAAAAGATGGGATCTGCTGGCCTGAAGTAGGAACATGTCTTGGGCCGGCCTCAGTAAAATCCTATTTTAAAAGTTAAGTCGCTTCTCTGTGAAATACAGTCTGCTGCTTCCGTTCAGACAAAAACAAAACCCCAAGCCCTGCACTACAGCCAAGGTTTGTTTCGAAAGTGCCTTCCCCATTATAGTTGAGTAGGGAACAATGTCCATGCAGCTCTTTTTTTCAATTTGTTTTTTCTGCCACAGGAATCCTATTTATCATTGTTCTGAGTTCAGTGAATTCCGCTGTTTTGTAGTCCAAGATATATGTTTGATAACACAGCTTTAGTTTCCATCAAGATCAAGAATCCCAGCATTTCACCTCCCTTTCCCCTATGTTCTTGCTACTTCTATTTTCTTTGGTTTGAGTCACAATAGCTGATCCTCTTGTTCTTTCCTCTACTCTCCAAAGGCAAAAATTGTCAGCAATACATGTTAGGAATTTCCTGGGAGGCCTGTGTTTGAGTTAAAACCGTATAAATTCTGGAAATCGGTGAGCAAAGGGTAAGGAAAGTGGTCCAGGAAATGGAGCAGATTAACACTGTTGAGTACTACTTATCAGTACAGCAGAATGTAGCTGCCTGATGGGATCCATCTCTCTTAGCAGGCTACAAAGCAGAAATGACAAGACAAGTAATTTCATCACCTCTGCTGAGATAAGGCACCTTTAGTTCTCCCAGAGGCTCTCCTAGCTGTAGCTATTTCAATACCTGAGTAGTTTCTGTCAGCCAGTTACAATAAGAAACTTTAAACAGCGTAAAGAAATCAAATTGTTCAAATAGTTAAAGATTTCATTACAAGATCTTTTGCTAAGAGATGACAGAGGCATCTAATTTTAACCAAAAAGATTTAAATTGATCTCAGAAACATTTACAAATCCTTATTCTAATAAAATCAAAGCTGAATATCCTAAATTGAATATACACAATTACCAACATTCTGAAATTGTGGCCAAGTTCACATATATTAAGCCATGTTTTAATTCTATTGAATAAACCCAGCTTGATTATGTGCAATCAAGTCAGTGAGACTCTTAACCACACAGATTTTCTCCATCACAATCTGTCCCCAACCTGGTCCTTCAGGTCTTCCAGTGGTGCACCCATCATTGCTACAATTAAGTCCATCTATCTTGCTACTGCTGGTCCTTGTCTTCTCTTTCCTTCCATCTTTCCCAGCATTATGGTTTCTCCAGAAAGCCAGGTCTTCACCTAGTATGCCCAAAGTATAATAAATTGAGCCTGGTCAGAAACCCAGATAATTATAGTTTACTTGCACAATTTTCACAACACTTTGAACCATAAACCATTACTTAGAAACTACAATAGCTGAGTTCACACATTACACCAAAACTAAACAACCACATTATCATCAGGTTTACTCAACATACTAAGCCACCGACCTGATCTTTACAATACAGTAAGCCATAATGTACTTTGCTTGTTTGTGGCTTAATGTGTGAGTTCAGCCACAGTAGTTTTCAGTCATGTTTTATCACTTAGCATACCCAATGGACCACTCTTATTTAAGTTCTCACAACATACTAAGTCATAAGTTGAGGTTTGCAAACAATGTTTGGGATTTACAACAGATGTAGCCAGTACCAAGCAAAAGACAAGTTCTGTGTGAACCAGCCCAATGGTTTAGAACAACCAGCTCATTTTTTACCTGGTTCACTCATCCCACTAAGCCCTAATTTGTGAACCAGCCACTCAAATTTGTTTTTCTTCTTTAAGTAACAAATCCTCAAATTCACAGGTGGTAATTTATCTTGGGACTCTGGAAGGTTAAGTCTTTCAAAGAATGTATTTATTTCTCCGATGCGGGGGGGGGGGCGGGCTTACTTTTTTAAGCCGAATTGCAAAAATCTGACAGAAAATTATGATATTGTGCTGCTGTCCAGCGATCGCCCGGATTATTGCAGATCCTAGTCGATATTATCCTTTTTGCACGCACAACATCCCTAGTGATCTGGGCTACCGCATGCGAGGTAAAAAGCCAAGAATTTGGGGAAGCGAGAGCGTCGTGTACTGTACTGGTGAGCTGGAGAGGAGACTGAGGTTCTCCTGAGGCGGCAAGGGACGGGGGACGGAGCCGGCCGCGGTGGAGGGCGCTGCTGGCGCCTGCTTGCGGGAGCTCAACCTGGTTCTCGAGGGCGGCGCTGCCAGAAGAACGAGGGATCCACCCGCCCAGCCACTGCGGTTGTGCCGCCGCTTGGTGTGTCCCAGCTGACGCTCCGTAGCAGGGCGGATGTTGTGAGGAGCCGCTGCCGGCGGGGCTTGGCAAGGGAGCCAGGCGTGTGTTGGCGGCGGTGAGTAGCAGCAGCGGTAGCCAGCTCTGGGTGCGGGGGAGCCATCTGCCCGAGAGGCGGCTGCCGTCGAGACTCGGCACGCGGCTGCGACTAGGCCCGGGTGACGGGCCAGCTGGGTAGGCGGAGAGCGCTGCGCCTCTGCCTTCTGCCCCTCTCGCCTTTAAGGACGATCCGGAGAAGCGAGCCCGGCTTGCCAGCCGCACGCGGGGAGGGCGGTGGGGCGCTTCAGGTGCTTGGTGGGGAGCCGCCCGCGCGACTGGGAGGCTCCGGGTGGGCAGTCCAAGACAAGACCGCCTGCCGCACCGGTCCCTGCCCTTGGCGTGAGCCTGCCGAGGGAGGCCCTTTTCAGGGGAGAGTTGTAGGCGGAGGCTGTTCCTCCACTCTCCACCTCCTCTTCTGGGGTCTTTCCCGTCCCACAGTCTCCAGCCTGCTGATCGTCTTCCTTTGCGCGTTTCCTTCCTTCAGTTCCTGTGGTGCTGACAGCACCCGGGAGACCGACCCTCTTGTGAAAAAAGTGCTTGATTTGTGTCACCTTCCCGTAGTGTGGAAGGAACAAAGATACCTATCTTACGGATCGTCGCTCCAGGAAGAGATTTTCAGTGTGATCTTGAAGCGTATTAACTTCGTAGGTATTAATGTCCATCGAATTCAATGGGGAGTCCTGCGCTCAAACATTGCATCTTAATCCTAAATTGGCATGATCTGAAGTAAGCACCATCTGTTTAAAAAGGAGTTCCTTACCAATAATAGGCATGGATGAGATTGATCACTAAACTGGAGGAGCTCCCAGTATCCCTTCGGGCAGTAGAAGGGGCTACTGTAAAGTCAGGTAAAAGGCCATGGGCTGTGACAGGTGTTTCAGTGCAAGGCTGATAGCTGAATTTTTTCTTATTACCTGTGGAAATCCCAAAATAAACATAATCATCCTACACTTTATGGAAGCTTGCGACCTTCCATGTCATTTGGAGACCAAAGTTATTGTAACATTATACAGAGTGGCTGTAGTAATATTTCAAAACTACAGTTCTGATTCTGGTTCCTATTTCCATGTGCCAAAGCCTAATTGTAATTTGATTTGATACAGGGAGAGGATTGTCCTGTGGATTTTCTGCTGGTAAGGCAAAACTGACTTAAGCATGGCTTCTTTCCCTGAGTTTACATTTATTTTGGTAGTAAATGGATGACATAGTTAATCCAGAAGTCAAAGTTGGGATTAAATTTTGTGCAAGTTAATTGCATATTTATTCACATTGTGCACTTTGAGTTGCTATTCATATAACTGCCAATAGGCTGAAATAGGTCTAATTGAACTTAACAATGAGAACATCTTGATTAGACCCCAAACCTATCTTGTTCAGGATATTATTTCATGCTATGGTCAACTAAATGCCAGTGCAAAGCCTACCATGTTATAAGAGAGAGTAGAATTCTCCTGCAATTGTCCCCCACTAACCAACATTCACAGTATGTTTCTCATCTTAGAGTTAGCTATGATCATCATAACAAGCAGCTATTGATAGCCTTTTTCTCCATGAATTGCACTGATCTTTCATAGTCATCTTAATCTGACCATTGTTCCAATTTACAGTATCTAACTATAACCCTAATTTAACTGTATTATGTGAGGAAATCCTACTTTTTATGTGTCCAGAATCCATACTAATTTTTTTTACTTAATGATCATGGATTCTACTGTATCATAGATTCTACTGTAAATCTACAGTAAATCATGGATTTTACTATAGGAAAAACTGCATAATTTCATAAGCCTCTGGCTTGTTTTAATAATTTGAAAAATGCCAAATATTACAATCTTTTACTAATATGGTGGATACTCCACTCCCTGATTATTTCAGCTGTCTTATTTGCACTTTTTCTCAGCTATCCAGTATCTTTCTCTGAGATAAGTGACCAGAATTGGAGCTTCCTTCTGAATAAACTTGTATAAGATGGTGTTATAGAAATCCTTATTAATTAGAGCAACCTCTGCTTTTGCAGCTGTATTTTATATCAAGCTGCCTTGATGTTTCTCTCTTTTCAACATTCTCTGATATTAGGGTTGTTTCTAGATATGCATTTACTATCAAAGTTCACAATATAGAGATAATTAGGAAACTTGTTAATTGAGGCTGGAAAATATCTTCTTACGAAGGTACTGATTTGAGGAGAGATTGCTTTGAGTGACCAAGCAAGAAGGCTTTATAGAAACTGGTTTATTTTTAATTCAAGGTCTCATAGTGTAGTGGTTAAGGCATCAGGCTAGAAACTGGCAGGAAATGGTGAGTTCTAGTCCCGTCTTAAGCAGAAAGCCAGCTGGGTGATCTTGGACCAGTCACTCTCTCTTAGCCCTAAGAAGGAGGCAATGGCAAACCACTTCCAAAAAACCTTGCCAAGAAAACTGCAGGGATTTGTCCAGGCAGTCGCCAGGAGTCAAAACTGACTCAAAGGCACACACACACACACACACTAGCAGGGATATGTGTACAAGTGTAGTAGGAATGTTTAGTATTTGTGAATATGCTATGGGAGTAGAAAATACGATCCATAATAAAAACCTTCTGTCTTGTAGTGTAGTTCAGTGCATCACTGCAATTTTACTATAGTTTTTTACATTGTGCTTCAGTCAACATGTAGATATACATTAACTGTTTACTAATGTTGCCGAGGTTACTTTTTGTGCTGTGGTGTGAAGGGCAATATTGAATTATTGTATATGCTTATGGCTGTTACTAGGTAAAGATAGAACATAGTTGCTTTTGCTGTTGTGTAAGTTTAACACAAAGATGATGATGGTTCAAAGGAGAGGTATTTGGAACTTGAAATATCCTTGCTCCATATTATTAGAAAAATTAGGAATATTAGGATGTTGGACTTTGTCACTGCTGTATCCATAAACATTTGTGAGGCAAATATTGTTGAAGCAGTATATTATCTATATTGTTATATGTCTATATTGAGAATGGATACATATATATTACAAATATGTCTTTTAATCTGAGAATAATATTTTATTGCTTACATATTCTATTAAAAGTATTACTTTGAATAATTAAGAATAATGAATATTATTACAGCAAATCCCCCTAAAACAAAACATAAGTCACATTTTCTCTAATAGATAAGTTTGGTTACTTATCTATTAACTTTTTGTATTTATATAAATATCATGTATATATACTTTGTGTGTTCTTCTCAGTATTTTCTGGAGCAGGCTTTTTTCCTGTTTTTTTATTCTTAGCATTTTAATAGGTTTAATTTAAACCACAGTTTTCTTGTACAGTATTTGCTACTGTTTAAAATTTAGTTTTTGCTCTTTTACTAGTTCTGCTAGGGAATTTTTCATTTTTACTAATCTATTCTAGTTTATTCTGAATGAAATAACTTAAAAGTTACAAGGTGGAAAAAGTTGATCTTCCATCCTAGCTACCAATTCTTCTTATTTAATATTAATTCCATTTAAGTCCAGATGTTCTAAAACTGTTTGAAAAAATATATAGGGGATCATAACTTTTTTTTTTTACTCTTTTACAGCAGACTCTTAAAAACAGAGGTTTTTGTGCATGCATGCCAGAGAGTTTTATCTGGAAAATGAGGAAATGCAAAAATACTTATTTGTTTATTTTATTCTTATGTAGTTTTGTTAGAAGTACTAAAATGTTTGATAGCCTTTTTCCTGCAAATGCTATTCTAATCTATTTATTTATTTCATGTTTCATCTTTGAAGTTAGTGACATTAATACGGACCTGAACTATGACATCAAGAAGTTCTGGCACAACATTTCCTCGGAAAAATTACAGGTTAAGCACCGAGCCTGAAAAGTCCAAAGTTGCAGGTAGGAACAATATTGTGGATTATGGGGAGAAGGAAATAAGAGATTGTGTTAAGAAAAACTAGTTACTGGGGCATGTGAGTGTCACTGTTATTTTAGTACCTCAGTTGTGCAAATTTGGATGCCAGTGATTAAGCTTGCTACTTATCTTGTAGTTATTTGTATTTTGTATTTCTATCTCTTTGTTCTAAGTCAACTATATAAAGGTCAAATGCAAAGGTATATATTTTATCTGTCTTCCATCTGTTTGGAAGATCAACTAAAAACATAAGTCTTTAGTAGGAAAAAAAACAGCTTGCAGATAGAGTAACCAGGTGCAAAAAAAAGAGCTCCTACATTTTTTACTAGTCATTAAGAAGAGGAAGTTTCAGAAAGTATGATCCAGGTTAAGCTTACTTTTCAAATTGTGTGAGTATAATCTCATTTGTTGTATATTAGATATAATGGTACATTACTTGCCAAACAGCATTGATGGAAGCTGTCTTCAGTCATATGTGGGATTGGAGGAAAATATACTTCTTAATTCTTAATTCACACAAATGCAAAGAGCCTGTAGTTTTAGTTAAGTGAGCCTTTACTTAGGAATAGTTTTAGATGTTTATTAGCAAGACTTATTGTATAGATGTGAAAGCTCTTGATGAAGCAGCTAAAGTTAGCCAGGTCATTCTGCTCTAACCTGGTCAGTCCCAAAATGGGAAATCATGCAGGAATATCATATTCTGTTTTGAATTGTAAAGAAGAAATATATTCTACCAGAATGTAGTTTGTTACACCTCTGAAAGTAACTTTGGTATCTTGGAGGTATTACCTGACTGTTTATTGCTGACTTGGCTTTTGCTGTTTGTCATAGGAATAGTGAACAGCAAGCTCCTGAATGATTATCTTCATCGTATCTTTCCCAGTGCTGATGGAACTCAACCTTATGCTGCATGCAGGTACTAGCTTCTTGATTTACTAAATATCAAGCAAAATCATACTATTTGTATGGATGTGGGTGATGAGTAAACCTTTAGCAGTAAGAGTTCGGTGCTGACATTATGTAAAACAACTGTATTCTACTACACAAGTATTTTTGTGGTAGAATATTTCTGTAGGACTTTTTCAGCAAAAGGACTTAATAACGTCATTTTGAAAATGTGTGTGAGAGGCAATAATATCCTAGTAGCTTCTACCCTAACATAATTTCTGTAATTTGATTTTATGTCATTTATGAATTGCCAATAATGCCTTAAATTGTGCATCTTGTAATATCCATACAACACTCAGAAAATTGTGCTTTATAAATGTTAAATAGTAACAGCGAATATTTATTGTTACTTCTTGACACTTGCAATAACATTTGTCATATGAAAGTCAGTCTCCACTACACTTCGTATAAAGATGTGAAAGTAATCAGTTTCAGGTCTTCCAATAATGTACTCATCGCCACTGTAACTGACTCTATCCACCTTGCTGCTGGTTGTCCTCTTCTTCTCTTTCCTTCCACCTTTCCCACCATTAGAGCCTTCTCCAGAGAGCTAGGTATTTGCATAATGTGTCCAAACTAGGATAATTTGAGCCTCGTCATTTGTGCCTTGAGTGAGAACTCTGTTTTAATTTGTTTGATGAGCCATCGGTTTGTTTTCTTGGCTGTCCACAGTATTCTCAGGAGCCTTTTCCAACACCAAAGTTCAAAAGTATCAATACTCTTCCTATTCTGCTTCTTCAGAGTCCAACTATGAAGTGTTACTGAGGTTTTTGCAGGCATAGACACATCACGGCATCTGAATATCTTTTCCAAGGTCTTCATGGGTGTTCTGCTGAGTGCTAGTCTGCTGCACTTTCTTGACTGCTTGTTCCTTTACTGTTGATGGTTGATCCTAAAAGGCAGATGCTATCCACCACTTCATTGTGTTCATTGTCAATTCTAAGATGGTGGTTGTGCCTGTTGTCATTAGTTTGGTCTTCTTTATATTTAATCTTAGATCCATTTTTTCACTGTGCTCCTTGGCTTTTATTACTAAAGTTTGCAGATCCTTTGCATTTTTGGCTATCAGAGTAGTGTCATCAGCATAGTGCAGATGATTAAAGTTTCATCCTCCAGTTTTAAAACCATGATCATCATCATCCCTTTAATATATATTCAGCATATGGCCATGTCTCACTCCTTTAGCAACCTGGAGCCAGTCTGTTTCAATATGTTCTGTCTGTATTTTGGCTTCCTGATGTATATATAAGTTTCTCATGAGGACAATGAGATGTTCATATGGCCTTAAGCAAAGCTTTTTCATTTCATATTTTGTTATATTTTAAATTCTAATATAATTACATGATAATTCCTTTTATTTTTTGTCCCTGGATAGTACGTGCAAGTTCAACATAGTACTAAAGCTGTTAGAGCTTCATGTGAATATTTCTTAGGACAAATGGATGTTGTATGTTTTTATTTAAAGATCTGTTAGGGTCAAATTATACTTAGCAACTGAACTCACAACTGAGTTGTTAATGCAGTTAAAAATAACTTTCATCCCGTTTTACTTTTGATCGGGAGAGGTTACCAGAAAGAGGAATGGAGTGGTTTCTTATTGCTTTGCTGCAGCTTTCCCAGACAGTTTATTCTTTGAGTATTCCATTTCACTATTTTTTATTTGAGTTTGAGAATCTACGGTATCAAGTTTCTTTGATCAGTTTCTTAAGGTCATAGAGATAATTTGAGTAGAAAAGAAGGTGCTTTTGGAAGCACATTTCCCACCATTTGGAAGCAGGAGCTGCACAAAAATTTTAATATTATTGAAATAGGCTTACAATAGTTTATTTTAAAAAATCATTCCCAACCCAAGAAAAAAAGTACAATGTGATATTACTCACAGGTAGACATGATTTCACCTATTTTGTATTAGTCCTGCCCATTGCGGCCCTTATTTCCTCAACCCCCATGATAAGTGAACCTGTCAGTTGCTAACATTCTACAGACGTTCTGGCAAACATTTTTTTGCTCCCCAGTGCAAAATTACAATAGAGAGGTGTCCGGCACATTATGTAACTGATGGATTCCATTTAATTTGCTGATCATAAGTTAAATGAGCCTCACTTATATCAGTTCAGTGAGAAGTTGGAAATCATTTTGACATTGGAGTATTGAATAGTATATAGCATTGTTCAAAATTCAGAGTTGAAGAAAAGTGTTGCCAAATCACTGGTTTGCTCATTTTAGGGAAAAAAATTGTTTCAGATGCAGGTAAGCTAATTCTTTTCTTTTGGATTGTCCCTTCTACCATTCTAACACTGTGAACACCATTCTAACACTGTGAATGATACAGTGTTTGCTGATCTATTATGCAATATCAAAAGAATAGCACAGGGTTTGTTAGCATGCAGTTTTTTACAGGAACTTTATAGAATGTTAGTTTTTAATCCTTTTGAGGAGGAGGTTTCATATATATAAATACAAACATGTGAAAAAGTATACCTCACTGAAATTTGTGACTTTTTCAATGTATTTCAACATACAGCTATTTGTATAATATAGCAAATATCATGCACCGTTTACATTTTATAGAGCATTGTGTAATTTAAATAAACATACATGCAAATTTTGCATGTGGAAAAAGTAAGTACACCCCTACATTTCTCACTGCCTCAAATACCTAAAATTAGAATCAGGTGGAATTGCTAAGTCAAAGCCCTGATCAAAATTCTATCCAGATGCTGTGGGGTGATTTGAAACAGGCTGTACATGCAAATAAAATCAAGATATAATATTGATATGTCCACATATGTTAAAAAAGAAAAAAACTTTACACGGGGTGTACTTACTTTTTCACATGACTATAGCTTTATTAAATTGCTGTTTAGCCAAGGACAATGTTGAAATAGTTTTGTTGTTTAGTCGTTAAGTCGTGTCCGACTCTTCGTGACCCCATGAACCATATTGC